ACAGAAGATGAGTTCCCTCATGCAGGCAGTTAAACTGGTCCAATTAGGGAGCCCTGGCTGACAGATAAGAACAGGAGTGTCAGACATCCTGTTCACTCTAAGAGCTGGCTCTGAATCAGTGTCAAGTACTTTCCACATGTAAGTAAAAGGTGACTTCGTGATGGGATACCAGCTGCTGTGGAGTTACTTCAGTGGCAACAAGAGCAAAGCACGCTCCTGAAGAAATTCACAAGCAACAGTCACCTTTGAGGTGGGGTAAGCATTTTTGGCATCATGCCGTTATTTGGGAACCTTGATCAATTGATAGCTCATTCGACCCTGCCGAAAAAAGACTGGGCCCAGTATCTGGAATGAATGCATTATTTTGTTCCAGGAAAATGATATTGGGATAGATGAAAAGCAACAAGTAATTTTCCTGATAACTTGTGGACCCTCAGCTTTATCGGTTATTATCAGCCTAACTTTCCCTGAGGCAACAGATACTAGAACCTTTCAAGAGTTGATGGATTTAGTAAAGGAATATTACAACGTTAAGCTTCTTCTAATTCTAACACACTATACATTTTACTTGGCAGGTCGAGAACTAGGGTATCTGAATTAGGATTTTTGTCCAGGTTAAGACGACTGGCAGAGGTATGTGGCTTTAGTTTAACCTTTAATGAGATGCTGAGAGACCATTTGGTACATGGGATTCATGATGTAACCATGCATAAGCACCTACTAGCTGAAGCCCAACGGGACTTCAAACATGCACTATAACTGGCTTTATCATTGAAAAATGCGGCGTGGAGCATATGAGTTGCAGGATATTCCGGTGGAAGTGGATACCCTTGCTAGTCTGACTGAGCTTGAGGAGCACCATTTGAGAGTGAAGACAACTGCATAACCTCACACAGGACATATCCTGAACAGAGGGTCTCTAGGTCAGCCCACAGTAAAAGCCTAAAACAAAGCCAAGCCTCAGCCAAATGGTTAGCATTTTCTTCAGGATCTGGGCCGGCAAGCCATTGTAATTGCTGCCAGTATGCAGACTCAAGACAACAAAAGAATCCCATTGGACCTCAATTGAGTAATAGAACTCATAGACCAGTATCCAGGAGAGTACACACTCTGGGAAGTCCACCTACATCCAGTTTGGAACAGTTAAATTGCTTAGCATCATCCACATCAGAACTGATCAAAATAAAAGTCTGGTTAAATGGTCACCCAGTTCTACTGGAGGTCGATGCCGAGGCGACTGTATCAGTGATTATACAACCAATCTTTAACGAAATTTGCTCTGAATTCCAAACCTTAAGTTTGTGCAAGACCCATAGCAGGGAACCTTTACAGATTAAGGGTACAAATTCGGTTCCAATCTCATATGAGAAACAGCTGGTTCGGTTACCACTGATTGTATTAAAAGGCTCAGGCCTATGCTTGATGGGGTGAAATTGGTTGAGAAAGATTCACCTTGATTGGCTTAACATACTTCGATTAGAATTCAGTGAAGTCCAAATTAAACTGGACTTTTTCAGTAACGTCTAGGGACTATCAAACAAGCAAAGTCCACCTTGCATGTTCAACAGGAAGCAATTCCACAATTCTGGAAGGCCCCACCAGTGCCATTTGCCTCAAGAGCAAAAGTAGAGGCAGAAATCAGAAGGCTGGAAAGCCAAGGAATCATCAAACTTTTCCAGTTTGCGGAATGGGCAGCACTGGTCGTACCGAATATGAAGCCTTATGGTCAGTTCACCTTTGTAAGGATTTTACACAAATGGTAAACTGCTTTTTGCAGCTGGATAAATATCCAATCTCTCGTATAGAGGATTTATACGCAATGCTGGTGGGGAGGGCTGTCCTTCACAAAGCTGGACTTGAGCCACACATACTTGCAATTGCGGTTAGATGAGGATTCCCAGAAATATGTTACAATTAATACTAACAAGGGTTTATACCAATATACGAGAGTGCCATTTGAAGTATCATCTGCCAGTGCTATTTTTCAGCTGACAATGGAGAAAATTTTACAATGTCTACTCCAGGTCACCATTTATCGAGACAATGTTCTAATAACAGGGAAGACCAATAAGGAGCACTTGGAGAACCTGGACATAGTGCTTAAACATTTCACGTATGACTTAGAAGGAAACAATGTGTGTTCCAGGCACCCCAGGTGACTTACTTGTGCTACAGAGTTTTCAAGACTGGGTCACACCCATTGGAAGATGAAGTGAGGGCTATCAAAGGTGCCCCGGCTCCCACGTCTGTACCGGAGTTTGCATCATTCCTTGGGCTGCTGAATTATTATGGAAAGTTCAATCATAACCTGGCCTCCATTCTGATACCTTTGCATCAACTCTCAAAAAAGGTTCAGCCTTTGAAATGGACTTAGCTTTCAGGGAAGTGAAGAAACAGCTGTCATTGTCTAAGGTGTTGGCACTCTATGATCCCAAGCTAGAACTGGTATTGACAAGCAATGCCTCCCCATAGGGCATCGGGGTAGTTTTAGCTCAAATATGGTCCAATGGAGAGGAATGCCCAATAGCGTTTGCATCCAGGATCTTAGTTAGCAGAGAGTAGAAAGGTTTGGCGGTCATATTTGGAGTCAGGATGTTCCACCAAAATCTTGACAGATGTGAATTTGTTACAATAACAGACCACAAACCCTTTAGGTTGACCTAAAGAAGACAAGGCAGTGCTTACCATAGCTTCAGATCGAATTCAGCGGTGGGCTCTAATACTAAGTGCATATAATCACAAGTTCAAACAAAGTCCGGGAGTCCAAATAGCAAATGTGGGTGCCTCTAGCCGCCTTCCACTGGCAGATACACCACCGATGGTAACGCCACGAGAAGAGTCCGTAATGGATTTAAATTTTCTGGACGTACTTCAGTTACAGCCTACAATATCAGACTTTGGATGCAGAAAGATCTGGTCCTGGCAACACTGAACAGTTGGTGGTGATGCAAGAAACCTGAGGGCCGTCACAAGCAGAATTGGAACCTTTGTAGTCCTGGGGATACCAGATCACAGTAGAGGCATATTATTATGGGGAGCAAGAGTGATTGTACCAAGCAAACGTCACTGCCAGATACTGGCCGAACTCCACCAGGGTCATCCAGACGTCTCCAAAATGAAGATATTGGTGAGAAGTTGTGTCTGGTGGCCAGGATTGGATGCAGTCAAAACTGCATTGGAGGGGCAGTGCCCAGAGTGCCAACAAGGACAAAATTACCGCCAGCAGATCCCCCACATTTATAGGAATGATCAGGTAAATCCTGGACTCAGTTACATGTCAACTATGCAGGTCCTTTCATGGACTCAATGTTTTTGGTCATTGTGGACAACAACTCAAAGTCGCTGGACATGCATAGAGTTCATTTGTCAATCACGGAAACAAAACAGGAATATTGCACACATCTTTTGCAATACACAGATTTCTGAAAGTGTTGGTCACAGATAACACATGTTTACCTGCAGGGAATTTGAGTATTTTCTAAAGTCACATGGTATTTGACATATAAGGATATCTCCATATTGTACATCATTGGTATGGCAGAAAGAGCAGTCCAAACTTTGAAGGCAGGCTTAAAGAAACAGCTTACAGCTTCACCGTATATCAAACTGTCCCAGTTCCTGTCTGTTTATAGGCCACAACCTAATGCAATGACAAGGATAGCTCCAGCAGATTTGCTAATGGGGTGAAAAATCCATGCCAGGTTTAATATGATCCTCCCAGACCTGGGCGATGGTGGGTTGTTGAAATGGCATCAGGAAAACCACTGCTGGTCACAAAACTCCGCTAAACAAGAGAGACAGTTTACTTCAGGGGACAAAGCTTGGTGTAGGTACCAGGGGAATGGCCCCGCATTGGTAAAGAGGCATGATCAATGCAGTGATATATAAAGTTCGGGTAGGTGAGACGGCCCTGAACAAGCACGTAGACTATATGAAAGCTGCAAAAGTGCAAATGGTGCAGGAGCAAAATGTGCCCGGCTCTTCAACATCCTCTCTGATTGCTCTGGATCCCGTGGGTTCTCTTTCTCTGTCAAGTATTGAAGATACCTTGGAATCTGAGATGGACACAGTGGATATTGTTACCTCGGCGCCTTTGCCACCTGAAGAAGAGAATGGAGTTCTTCCAAGATGTTTCGGATGCAAGGGGCGAGCTACTGTGCATTACACACTGCCCGCATCAGAGGCAGAGTTGGAGGAACCTGGCCCAGTGCTAAAACACCCCCAGGGTGATACAAAAAAAAACCAGCCTATGCCCTCGGACTCAGAGAGGGAGGGATGTACTGATTGTAACAAGGTCAGCCGAGTGGACCTCATTCAATGAGTTCCCTGATTGGGGCTGTTAATCTGGTCCAATCAGGGAGCCCTAGCTGACAGATAAGAACATGCATGTCAGACATCCTGTTCACTCTAGAGATGGCTCTGTCCGAGCTGGATCAGTGTCAAGGACTCTCCAAGTATAAATAAAGGGTGAGATGCTGAAGGCATACTGGCCTCTGTGGAGTTATTTCAGCTCGATTAGTTTCTCTAATGCTACTTCTTTATGGTGGTGATGGTACTTAATTCCTCCCGCATAGTATTTAGTATTAATGGAATGTTCAAAGTATCTTCCACCATAAAGACTGTTGCAAAATATCTGTTTAACTCCTCTGCCATTTCCTTGTCCCAAAGATGCATATTTACATAGGTTGCATATTTACAATGACCAACTAGCAAGTACTTAGAAAATAAATTACAGAAGTCAACCGTAACATATTTTATGTGCTTTCCTTACTGTGTCACGATGATCTACAAAGCAAGAAATAAGGAGATAATGTTAACATTTTTTTAAAAATTTAAACAATTCAAAGTCAATTGAGTCTCATCTGTAATACTTCACAGCATTTTGCTGTTTTGTAGCCTATCGTCTCTTGCTCTGCTTTAAAGATTTTATGACCCTACAAATAGCATTTTGGACAGCAAATAGATGATCAATTGTCCCCTCGCGTCAATACGAGACTTACTTTGGCGGCACTGATGACTGTTGCAGTGTAAGACTGGACGTTGTCACCACAGGCCCCACCACGAGATCGGTGGCAGTGGATGAGCTGAATAGGAAAAAGACATAATATTAGCTGTAGCAGCAGAACCCTTGTAGTGACTGCAAATTCCTATTGAATTGTAAGAAACCAAAAGGTGTGACAATTTTTTTTTGTCCTTCTGAGAATTTGAAGCTTTGACTGAAAACAGTAACTGCATCCTATTGTTTGTCAAGGCAAACATTTCAAACACCAATCTATAGTTATATTTTTTTTCCTTTATTCATTCACGGGATGAGGGCTTCGCTGGTTAGGCAGCATTTATTGCCCATCCCTAATTGCCCAGAAGGCAGTTAAGAGCCAAACACATTGCTGTGGGTCTGGAGTCACATCTAGGCCAGACCAGGTAAGGATGGCAGTTTCCTTCCCTAGAGGACATTAGTGAACCAGATGGGTTTTTTTCCCAACAATCGACAATGGATTGACGGTCATCATTAGACTCTTAGATATTAGACTCTTAGGCATTAGACCATCTGCCGTGGTGGAATTCAAACCGAGGTCCCCAGAACGTTATCTGGGTCTCTGGATTAACAGTCCAGTGATAATACCACTAGGCTATTGCCTCCCCATGTAATATTATTATGCACACGGTTCCTGTCAATTTTTCAATTATAAATGTCTTTTGCCACATCCAAAATGGAATTGGTCTGGGTAAATTTGTCACATCTTCATTATAAGTGCCAGCACTATAACAACCCCCCACCCAACATCCAATAAATGGTGCGGTGCTTCAGCATCATGATAGGCAAGAGAATGTAATTACAGCATAACACATTTACATAGACAGTTTCCATAATAAATGTTAATATAGACACTTCTAATAAAGATGTACACAGTTAAAGGTGGAACATTTGACTTTAAATTAGAAAACAAATAAAGTTTGTGTGCCCTGATCAAATGACCCCTGAATTAGGGTAGCATCACGTATGTTAGCAAAAAGGCTAATGGGTGTTTTAGGCCATAACCTCAAAATTGAATAATAGTGATACAGAAGCCAGTCTTCTCCATTTGGAACAGTTCTGGTGATTTCTGGTGAACAACATTTATTAGATAAATTACTGTAATTTTTTATCACTTCGAATCATTGCTGTGAATCCAGGAGAAGCAGGAGTTGCCTCCATTTTAATGAATCACCCATTCTCCCTTCTGAGACTCACCTTCATGCTACACTTGAGGGGGCAGACACTCAATATTTATTTCTTTTAACTTCACAAACTGCCTGTGGGGCTTTACGGGGACCAGCAGTTGAGCCACTTAATTTTGGAGGTCCAAGGCTCAAGTTTGCACTGGCACTTAGGTGTCCCAATTCAGAGGTACACTGTAAATATTAATTAGTGAGGCAGAGTCCAGGCAAATACTTTTCTAGAAAGACTTTTATTTCAACTAACATCACTGAATCTCAACACACCAATTACTTGCTCTCCCTAGTTCTCACCCATTTATTCCTCAATTCATATATAACCATCACACATTCCCTGTTTCTATTGATCTTGAGTTCCAAATGTGATTTTTTTTCCAGTATTTCTGATAGTTTCAAGTGCTTTCTCCTTTCTTCATAAAGTAATCAGATAGCAGACTACTGCTTTCCACCCATTTTAATTTTGGCATTTCTCCACTCTTCAGCATCTGTTTTAAAACTGCAATGTCAATTTTCACTCAACCAGACTTTTTTTTCATTCATTTACTATCCTATAGTGAATTATTACTGATGTAATGAGTATTTTTGATGAACCCCCTCTGAGAATTTTGTCCAATATTTTTGCTACAAGTAATGAAATATCCACCACCTCAACAAGAGTTCTCCGACAACGGTACTTTTTACTACTATTCTGATTTTTTTAGCTTCCCAAGTAAAAAGGGCAACACTTACCTCCTCCTTGCTAAAGAAAAGTTATAAACTCTCGCGCAGTTGAGAATTCATCACAGAGATGTGCATAAGAAACATCGCTAAAAACAATAAGTTCTATGATCCTGGCATCCCCGAATGATGGAAATTTCAAAACACACTAGCAGCTAGCCATGTAAATACAGTGAGTCCAATAGCAAATGAGAGGCTAGGAATCCTGCAGTAGTAACTCAGAATTCCTTAAGGCCTGTCCACCATCTACAAGGCATGAGAGAAGGCAATGGAGTACTCCCCGTTTGTCTGGATTCCTGCACCTCCAATACTCTTGAAGCTTAACATCAACCAGAACAATGTAGCCTGTTTGATTGATACCAAAGCCACAAACATCACTCTCTCCACCGTGGATGCTCAGTAGCAGCAATGTACACAATCTACAAGATATGCTACAAAAATTCACAAAGGCTCCTTAGACAACACCTGCCAAAGTCATGACCACACCATCTAGATGGTCAGGGGCAGCAGATGCATGGTAACACTACCAATTGCAAGCTCCTCTCCAAGCCATTCACCATCCTGGCTTGGAGATATATCACCTTTCCTTCAGTATCAAAGGGTCAAAATCCTAGAACTCCATCCCTAACACCTTTGTGGGTCTACCTATACAAATTAACTGCATTGGCTCAAGAAGACAGCTCATCACCACATATTCAAGGACACTAAGGCTTGGAAATAAATGCTGGACCAGCCAGCAATGCCACATCCTAAGAATGAATAAAATAAAATTGCTCCATTTTTATTTTTTCAATTTATTTTTGTCAAAATAATATGTTCTAACTTAGGAATTTTCATAGTTATACTCACCTCTAAGACTTCAAAACTGAATTGGGTCACATTTGGCTGCCCAGCCAATTCCTACACTGGTGTAATGGGGTTGACCCCACTGTAATGGGGTTAACATTTTCCAAATAAAATTGCTGATGCAAAGTGATACTCAATTTATTCTGTCTGATTTACAATCAACATGCTTACAAGCTCCAGAAGCCTGATTTCCAATTTTGAATTCTGTTATAAGCCCATTTATGACAGTTTCAAATTCACTGCTTCCACACCAGAAAAATCAATCTCGTGCATCAGTAAAACATGCTGTCAGTAAAACATGGCAGGGTTTTAACTTGAGACAGCCTAATTTTAACAAGATGGACCTGGAGAGATACCAAGCTCTTAAGGCATCATTTAGACCATAAACAACTTCCAGAGTCTCCCAACTGCATTCAGTACCACTTTTGGATGATGAAAAAACACTTCCTTTTTGAACTGATCTTGCAGAAGTGCAGCTTTTCATTAACTGATCAACTGATCACTTGTTGCTAACAATGCCAAAAAAAACTTCCTGCCAAAGGTGAATTTACTCATATCGTTTCTTCAAAACTCATTCCACAAGCCTTACTTTACCCTTAAAAGTTTCAGGAGACACCGTTTCTGTACATACCCATCTATGGGATAATGCTGACTGTCTCCCACCTGGCACCTCTGTACACACCCAAATCCACTCCAACTTTGTAATTTTTGCTGTTTGGCAGCTTTCATTAATTTTTCTTCTAATTTGTTTATGGCCACTAAGGCTTCCTGATCACGTGGGTTTCTGGTTTTGGTGGGATCCCTGGTCTATACTACATTCCTTGACTTTATTAAGCTATGCCCTCTATCTTGCAATCTATCTTTTTCTTCACTGTTAATGTTTGATCTCCTCATCCTTATAATAGCATTTTTTCCAACAATTCTTAATCTCTTTCAAGGGGCATTTTCACTCATAAAGCCTCTATCCAGGCTTGCACGGCATTTTCTTCCTTTCCATTTCTGTAATTCATGCTTCAATCCACGGGTCAACCTCTTGCTCTTGTCATCCTATACATTCAAGGAACTCTTCAGTGCTGACAGTATTTTACAGTCTCCCTCTCTGCTCTATATATAATAGTCACATTTCTCCATTGACTAGCCATTTCCGATAAATAATTGACTTTAGTGCCCACTTTTGACTATCGGAACTGATCTGTCATTCGTCAGACAAATGGTCAATTATGACAGTCTGATCATCATGGCTGTGCAATATATGGTTATGACAAGTACATGGTTCCTCATCACTTACTATAATTCCTTCAGAATCTGTAAATTTGTAATCCATACTAATCAACATTGAACATACAAATCAGGAGCACGAATAGACCATTCAGCCCCTTAAGCCTGCTCCACCATTCAATAAGATCATGAACAAAAACAAAAGTTGCTGGAAAAGCTCAGCAGGTCTGGCAGCACCTATGAAGAAAAAATCAGAGTTAACGTTTTGGGTCCAGTGACCCTTCCTCAGAACAATAAGATCATGACTGATCTCGGTGCATATTCAATACCACATTCGCACCTAGCCCTAATGACCTTTCAACCTGTTGCTAACAAGAATCTATCTTTACTTTAAAAATATGCAAGGACTCTGCTTCCGCCACATTTTCAAGAAGAGTTTCAAAGACTCACAATCATCTGAAAGAAAAAGAATTAAATCATTTCTTTTTCAAATGGGCAACCCTTCGTTTGTAGATAATGCCTCATAGTTCTAAATTCACCCATATTTTGAGTGTGTGGTATTGTAGATATCTTGAAGCATGTTCCATTTTGCCTATGCATGCTGTGCAGAAATGTCAAAGAAGTTCTGATCAAACAAGTCACAGAACTATTGGTTTTTATCAACAGGTAGTATTACTGACATTGATACAAAGACATCAATTCCACTTTGAAGAAACTTCAAGGATTTCAACCTCAACCTAATGTACTCCAGGTACTGATCTACATTACAGTCAGAACTGTGGTGCCTGCATGTGTTGGGAATACTGTTCAGACAGCCAAGTCTGATGATGATCAGATCCAGCTGGCATCAATACCCCGATCTTGGAAATCTCCAGGACACCTGGTGAAATGGTTTGCTGTGAAAGATGGCTTTAGTTGCACAAAACTCACGGTAACAGCAGAACTCAAGTAGTCTCTATCTGTGACAACAAGGTGCAGGTCTGGATGAACACAGCAGCCCAAGCAGCATCATGCTGCTTGGCCT